CAGCCGCTCGAGTAGACCGACCGACGGGCCATGGGTTCGAGAGCGAGCGGGAGGCGGATACGGCATGCAATCAGCGTTCCTTACGCCTCACGGCGTCGGGAGTCTGATGCCGCGTGTTCGTCAGGTCGTAACAAAACGAGAGCGAACCGCGCATGGTGTTCTCACCGATGCTCCGCTATGACGCAGAGCATCACGACGATCGCTGATCAAATAAGGTCCAAGCCTCTCGACGGTCCACGAGCCAGCGCTGGAGCTCTGCGTTCTATTATTCTCGAGCGAGTCGACATCTGCAGAAAAATTCAGCCGTAGCCCCCAAGTGGCGACTCGCTTGTTGCCCCCGTCGAGTTTTGATGACGTACGTCAGACTTTGCGTCGGGGCGCGGTCTGTTGCGCGTGCCCAAAACATTCAACCCAAAGGCGATATGGCAGTGACGCATTCTCCCCGTCTGGACGCTCGAATACGCGCCCGGAGAACCTGGGGTGGCCTGCCCGCATTGTCCAAGGAGCTTACGAGCTCCCCCAGAACAAGTCACCGGGTCGGCCGAGCGGGCCGCAATTATCTCCGGGAAGATTAATTTTTTCCTCTTCCCACCGATCCCTGTTTTCAGTGAGTGATTCTCTCGTTCGGGGAAGCTTGATGGACGGACGACCGGAGCTCGCTGCAGGCGGGAAAGAGGGATCCCGAGAAGGGAAGCCGTATCGATCTCGCGAAAAATAGCTTACCGAGAGGAACTTCTCGTGGCAAACATCGCCGAGCGAAATAAACGCTAATCAGCGGGTTCGGCGTGGAAGACCCGAGAGAACAGCTCGATCGAGACGTCGAAATTCTCCTGGCGTCCTCGTGGAAAAAAGCCTCAGGTTCGTTATCCTGTTTGTCTTGCAATTGAGCACTTGCGGTGTCATCCCACAAGGTCAGGTGCAGAAGAGTAGCAATAGCGAAAAACAACAAGCTCTCAAGCCCGGGAGGTACGGTCTGTGAAGGAGGGCGGCCCCATCGATTGCGTTGCGGTTCGGGGCCACGGGGGCTCGTAATCATCAGATGCCCGGCGGGAGCTACGCGGGAGCCTTGTGCCGACCAATCTGATGGCGCGGCTCCTGTCTGCGAGCGAGCGAGGACGTCGGCGGCGACGACAACCACGAGCACGCCTGCCATGCGATTGTGCGTTCGTCGAGCGAAGTCAGAATGCCTAGAGAGCAGACGAAGAAGCAGGCGGGCGGGCGGGCCGGCAGGCCCCTATAGTTTAACGATGTAAGGCAGTGGCCGAAGCTGTTCGCGGCGCCCATTGCTCTGATGGTGGTGGAGAGCTTCGTAGTTTTCGTCAACGAACGTCGACTTCCGAACGAAGCTCTGACGAGAAAGCGAGCAAGGCCGTCAGGGCGCTGTCTTGGTAAATTGCGCTCGCTCGCACTTGTTCAGACACGCTCACGAGACATTAGCCGCTCGTTGAAGCGGATCTGTTGACTGTCGACAGCTGACAAGCGGCAGCATTCAAGCAACAAGCTAACGTACGTAACGCGGGATCGACGTACGCAACGCGGGATCCCCGGAAGAATGGGGAAGATACTCCTGACCGAGATTTGCAAGCCTGCGCTCTCCACTGGAGCGGTCTTCATTCGATCAGATGGGTTGACTTCGTTTGCCTGCTCTGATCTCCTTCGATTCCAAAATAATCCGACGCCGACGGCCGGCAACCGGGCGACTCGCCCTGCTGCTGCCGCCGTCGCTCGGAGGCTGATGACGCGCAACGGACACTCGCAGAAAGTTCTTCGCTGTGAAAGTAAAGCCCTCTCTTGGGGAAAAGGTTTTTATGCTCTCACTTTTCAGCAACTCAGAGGAGACAGAGTGTCGGTTGTTAGCTGACTTTGAGACGAGGGAGGCAGGGTCCAGGACAAGAAGAAGGAGCGAACCTCCAATTTTGGTGTCGCCCTCTCTTCGCAGGGGAAAAGAACACATCTCGGTTAGCTTTGAGAGCAACGCGAGAGGGAAGACGAAAGAACTCGGCCAGCTGCGGCTTTCGGGGTTTCGGAGCCCCCAAAGACAGCGGAGCAGGAGACCGCGGACAGCTGACTCACACTCTCGCAACTCTCCGCTTTCGAACGCGACTCCCCTCAAGGAAAAAACGTTGCGCCGTACCTTTATTTTCCAAGATCTCCATCAGACCGATAGATGTGAGGTGACTGTCTCGTTTGCTCGATAGACACCCATTCACCAATTGAAACTCGATCGATGCCTCGAGCAAGGAGCAGAGGGAGCATTCGTCGTCCTCGTCGCGATGCGTTATAGGGGCGCCGCGTTGTCGCCCCCCCCCTGCGATTTCCTCGCTCCTCTCTCTGACAGGAATTATTGTGGAGCGCATATCGTCCTCGACGAAGGCCAATCGACTCCGCGCCGCCCATGTCGGCAACGCAATCACCTAGACCACCATCAGACATCTCTCGCGCTCAACACTCTGCGGGAAGCAGGGAAAAAACGTTAGCTCGCATCAAGCTCAGTAGCCCGATTTCGCGGCGAGCGGAGGGGCTTTTGTTTATCCTCGTCTGCAGCCCGTAGTCTCCTCCTCGGTGTTGGTACATCTTTTGTGAACATTTTATTTCCGAGAGGAAACAAGAGTGGTGTAGATGCTGTTTACCGAACTGTACGCCTCGAGCGGCGCAGCTCCCAAGGGATAATTCCCGGTGGAGAGAATCAGGAGTGCGCCCAACATGTTATCCACGATCTGGATTGGTGGTTGACCCTTACGGATGATTCGACTGGGACGGTACTTCCTCTTCACCAAGGCGGGGGTTGAACCGTGCGTGTGGGTGACGTCTGATCATTGATGCTGTTCTTGGTTTCAACTAAGAGCGCCCCGACTGTATCGCTTCGAGCCTCGATTATATCAACATCTGGGGATTTCACCTAGATTACATCAAGTTTTGTCAAAAAAAAAAGTTCGATACAATCGAGGTTCTCGTGGATTCCTATGGGACCTCGATCGTCATTGTATAATAAGGTTGATATCATCAATAATCAAGATCGATTATATCAATCTTCCTTTTTGGAGTAACCCGTTGATATGATCGAGAATCTACTGTATTCTGGTCTGGTTTGCTTCTCTGACCTTCGACCACGCCCCCCCTCATCCCCCGACGCGTCGTCCTCGCTGTTTCTCGCAAAAAAAATTCCAGTCGTGGGTGTGGCCGTTGTCGACTTTGCCGAGGTTAGATTGGGCGTTAATGTTATTGCCGCCGTACCGCTGACGGTGGTTGGGCTGGTTTAGTTGCCCTCTTCACACCGTCCTTCACCAAAAGAGTTATGTTATCGAATGCGGGGATATTTGCGGCGATTTTTGCGCATGCTTTCTCTGTTTGGACACTGTATACTTTATGTAAGCTGCGTAGGGTTCTTTTCGTGCGCGACCATCAACCAAGAAGAAGGAACAGCCCGAGACGGCCGAGCGAACCGAGAAGAAAGCCAGGCCGGCCGGCCGACCGACCGACCGACGAACCGCCTGCCCGACTGGCTGGCATTTGGCTGCGAGCCAAAGGGGACAGGGTTTGACTCGAAGTCGAGGACGCAGACGCCACCGAGTCGCTCCCTGATGCCCCTGCTGCTGCTGCGACCCCGTTCCTCCTCAACGTAGCTCGCTTAATATACATCTCAGAAAAGAGCTCGACCCGGCAGATGGAGACCGGGGAAGAAAAACGCGATGGGAGGGCTCCGAGCAGGGCGACCCGGCAGCGGTCTCGCTGGAGTTCCGCGGGGCTTCCATCGGGGTTCGGGGAAGCACCATGCGGAGTCCTTACGATGCAAAAAGCCAGCCACCAAACAGCGGCAGAAGCGTACGTGCACAGCCTTCGTCGAGTTCCGCGGTAATTGCGTTTGATGATATCGCATCTCATCATGTTGTTTGTTCGCGGGAGAATGACAGACTCGCTAACGAGCTCGTAGGCAAGCGAAAGCATCGCTCCGAGCGTCGTCGACGTCGCTCGGATAAGATTCCGGACGCGGTCCGGCCAAGCGGTCGTCATAATCGCCTGCCAATCCGAACGCTCATTCGATGACGGCGGAACGAGAGCGGGGCTGCTTTTCGGTGACTCGTTGACACAGCGCTTTTAAGACGAAAGCTGTAAATTTAGATACGTCGTCGGTGACAGATCGAAACTACCGCCGATGTCCGGAATCGGGCCGCTGTGGACTGACGTGTCTAGCCACGTCTAAACCTACTTGTTTGTAAAGCCCACATGATTGGGTGTGGCGCTGTGAACTCTCGGAGCTTTAGGAATGCTCAGACAGGCCTTCCAGGCGGAACGGACTGGGACGCTGGAGTAAAAACGTCCGCTATTTGCTTGTATCTGTTTGTGCGCGTTTTTATACGTTGTCGACGCCCACGTGATGGCGCGATGGCTCGAGCGCATCGAGGTCGCAGTGCCAATCGGTGTCTTGCTCATCGTTCTTCTCGTCGCCCTGGGAATGCTGTTGTGGGTCGCAGCGAGGCAACGGGGCACCACTAGAAACGCCTACCACATCGAGGAAGTCCACTCGAATTTCTGCTCCGGGGCCGTGCGTTCGGCTAGGAGGCGATGACAACTAATTGGATCTTTGTACATCCGCCTCGATGCTCGATAATAAACCGCTGAGGTATTCGACTCACGTTCGAACTCCTTGTATTGAAACTCGAGGCTCTGGAGGCAGTCGGGTCGATCCACCGTTCCTAGGTGTCACGGATTGCTCACGGAACCATCAAGTTTTCATCCACAATGACCTTAGAAACTCGAATTTTGAGCTAGTGATCCTCGAGTCTGAGAAAGCTGATCCTTCGAGCCTTTGGAAAAAGACAGCTCCTGAGTGGGGAAGGTTCCGCAAAACTCTGACATTCTTGACAGAGACGAATGAGCAGTTGTTTCGATGTCTGGGGCGTAGGGGAGCTGCGTTGCGGCTGGGTTTTCGAGACAAAGGAAACTTTTGCAACCAATTCACTTTGGTACGAATCTCATACAATTTCTTCCTATTTCCACAGTTCACACCCCCGGGACTGCAAGGAGAATTCAACTGTTTCCAACACTCGTACTGCTGGACGGTGAGTTCAATATCAGCTTCGAACTGGAAAAATCAATTCCCAGGTGGCAGGACGGAGGCTCTCGAACCACAAGTAAACCTCAGGATATGACAATCGGTTTAGATAGAGCTGCGGGGGACTGATTCTCCGCTTCGCGTGTTGCGTCTAACGCCTCGGATAGAGCCGCTGGAATCCCCGCAAAGTTCCGTCTGGAATGCCTAGCGTCCCGATCCCGATCGGGCTAGCAGACTCGGCAATGAAGTCGGAAGCGTTCGTATGTTTGAAGAAGGATCTGCCTTCCTCCCGCTCGAGCGCTCGGCCGCTCCCAGCGGGGATCAGTTCGGAGCAGGGTGAAACCCCGCTCAGAGTGTCGGGGCGTAACATATTTCTGTCGTGATCCGACCCCGCTGTATCAGGTTTATTGAATAACTTCTGCTATTCGGCAGTTGCTCAGTCGAATGCCATCGCTTGCCGGGTGCGTCGACAAAAAAAGAACTCGTCCGGATGCAAGCGAAACGAACTGCGAGTCTGATGAACAACAAGAAAGTGAGCGGAACAAGCATCACTGGTAGCGAACCCATTTCGCTGCTACCGCCTAGCCTTTCATTAGGCGCTCTGCTAGCTGATGCTGCTGTCGGTCACACGTTTACTCCTTCGCATGTCCGAAAAAACAGGATAGGCAAGGAAAGCTCAAGTGACTTCCTCCGAACGATCCAAAATCCAATTTTTACCAAGCCGGAAAAAAGTCCGACAACAGAGTTCAACGTCTAGCGGTGTCATTTCTGCGCTCTCTGGAAACACCCGATAGGAGCGCGACACCCGGAATATTACAATGAAGATCACGGATTTCACAGATTCCGCATTTGCCTTTGCCGCATAAGACTGAACCCCAGCGCCTCGTTTCGATGAGCGATTGTTCCATTTCCCGGGCGAAGAAGGCATCCGAGGGAGTTTCGTGACGGAATGCGATGCTTGTGCATACGACTTTCCAAAAATTTGAAATCCCGAGTCATACTCAGTGAACTCGAGTATTCGATAGCGGCAACGATTCTAGGGGGAAAACTAGAGCTCGGAAGTTCAGGAATTTTGCCACAAATGCCTATTGCCGCTTTCTTCAACGCTTTCCCATCGGAATCACCTATTTAGGTTTTGCCGCCACTCATGAGCCTTTTCGAGCCACCAAGAAGCTCAATTCCGGGAATGTCGGAGGAATTCAGGGTCTCCGAACGGATTTGGCGATGAATAGAGTCGGCGAACCCATGCTCCAGGAACACATCCTGCTCCCGATAGAATCCGATGGTCCGCATAGACGTCCATTTTTTTTCGACAAGGTAAAATACTACCTGTCAGACCGGCCTTGATCACGAAGCGATAGGACTTCGGAAGATCACGAGTATTTCTCATCAAACGGCACTGACAAGCGGTTGGATGCGGCGTTTGCCCTGCCTGTCACGCCTGTTTTGCCTCGTCTTGGTGCCTATTCCAACGTATTTCAGTGCCTTTTCGCCTGCCATTTTAGGCATTTTTCAGTGCCCGAACTTCTGAGATCTAGGGATTACTGTCACTTCACTGAGATACTCGCGCCCCGAAGCTTCGAACGATGTGCCATCAATCTAGCGTCACAGAAATGTGTTCCGAGATATGATAATCTGGATGGGTATTATTTCATTCTCATACTTCCTCTTTTCCGCAGTGCTGGTTCGGATGCAAGCTTTTCCATCAGAATCTTGCGGCATGGACCGTCCTCTGCAGTCAAAAGAGCCATGAAATATGCGTGAGTAATAGTGAGGCAGATGCAGCAGACTCGAGGGAAAATGATGTTTATTACCACTTCGTTTGTTGTCGTTCCCCATACGGAGGAAGCTGCGCAAAGGTTTCCAAAATAACAAGAAGAAGCCGAAGTAGATACAGATAGGGACGGAACAAGGCTCAGCTACCGGGACAACGCTCGATGGGAGGGTATTCTTTCAAGACAAACTGAACGAAGAAAAAAACACTTGGCTGTTTGCCAACGCTTTTAGCATTCAGCATTCCCGTCGATTCGGTGCATTTAGTAGGATCCGCTTCATCCGTTGCAGTTGGAGGGATGTCAGACCTCGTGTCGCTTCCATCAGAACGACAACGAGCTGGACGAAGCGGCGCATCCCGAAGGACCCCTGACGACCCAAGAAGTTGTCGAAGATGTCAAGTATCAGTACGATCTCGAATATAACACCACCAACATCGAGTGGGACTATAAACCCAACGCTGAAGTGAACGGCCTCATACTCGTTGTCGGCACCAACGAGAGCCTCAGCGACACAGAATCGCTGAAACCCCACGAGCTTTTCATCATCGGAAGGGTAAGATCGCCTCTCCATTCGTTTCCTTGACTTCACAAAGAAATCCCGCGAGCTTGTTCAGAATATTCATCACTTCCATTCGATCGTTCCATCGATACGATATTGACCCAATGAACCGGATTGTCTCAACGGAGCGGCAGGGGAGCTCGAGCCCGATGACGCCACCTCTATCTTGTTCAATTATTCCAATTTACATTGTTATGAGATTCGAAATCCAATAATCTTCCGGAGCTCAATTATGGACGGTGACGCACCACGACGAGGTCTGTCCTCGTTTACAATTGCAAGCAGGGCCGTTCGTTCGTTTTATTCCTGAAGTCGCGCATACAGCATTAGTTAAATCGAGGGAGTTACGGGCAGAGATGAGCGAGACGATGACGGCCGAGAGAACAAACCGGCAGAAACCGCAAATGGATGTTCCCTCAATTTATCCTCGTGCATATTAATAATCCGTTTTGGCAGAGTCGTGTAGCCGCCTCCATCGCCTGGAGCAGCGAGCGGCGGGCGCGCAAGTTAGTTAAACGTCCGGCGACGGTGTCTTCTTGATCCCCCGGAATTTGGTCCGACTCCGTCGGTCAATCTGTTTGTTCGGTCGGGGCCCCGTGAACTATTCCGCCTCTTCGGATTCCAGACCTATTATCGGAACATCACAATCGATGATAAGATCCTCGACGAGTTCTGCACGATCCGCCTCGCGACTGTGGACTCGAGCAAGAAAATCAGCCTCCTCAACATCCATACCGAACATCTGAAGCGCCACACTAACAAATGTCATAGCACAGGCGTGCACCACCACGTAAGGCATAGTGCTCCCTTGATTGATTTCAGAAAAGAAAAAGAAAGCTCATAATGAAAAATAATATGAAGCTACAAACTGAAAAGAAATACATTCAATCATGTGGAAATCCCCGAGCGGAATCGGAGGCCTTCCCGTCCATTGCGGAAACTTCTGATTTCCGCTGGAAAACAAGCGCCTCTGATTGATTCGCGAGGCTGAGCCTCGATTCCGCAGGTCTCTCGGTGGGAAAAGAGCGCCGCAGCAATTCAATTAGCTGACTGATTCCACTTGAAGAAGATCCTGATTGACGAAAGAGACGCCCTTCCACAGCCAGAATCCCCTAAAAAGATTTTTTCGGTCGTTCCAGCCGCCGATCATAAGCAGCATCCATGTGACCGACCTCCGGAGGCGCTACAATCTTTCTATGTCGGAGAGCTCAGGGAGCACCACAAGCGAACCGTCCTCCGGTTCCACCACTCCCGCTCCTCCAGCCGACAGTGCAGCTGCAAATGGAGTGGCCAGTCTCCCAGGAGATCCTTCTTCCAACAGCACGCCACCCGCAAAGCCATCGGATCCGGAGCCGTCGAACGTTACTTCTCCACGAGACCAAATAAGCACCGCGCGGCCGCTGGAACTCTTTGCGGCGCCGATTCTGGTCGCTTTGACGTCACCACCTTCGACCGGTCCGTCGCACCTCAGCGGCGAGGATTTAAGTCCCGAAGTGCTTAGAGCGGAAATTCGCTGGGAACCGTTCGTAAACTCGTCGGAGGATGCGTCCTGCATCAAGTACAAGGTCACTTGGAAGTCGGCCCTTATCGACAAAGTTGCAGGTGGGTTTGGAGCGTAGACGGCGGAAGCTAGCTTTCGGCCGTTTTTTCCTCTCTCTATTTCGGCGAGCTAACAAGCGACGGTATTGCTTCGGGCGACCGACCGACCAACCGTCCGCTAGCTCGTCCGTCGTGCATTAATGGGTAGCTTATTCTTGTAGCGAGCTCGTTGCGGAATTGTTAGTCGCGCCTTCCGTCGTGGAGCGTGGACGCTCATGGGCTTTTTCTCTTCCGTCCGACCTCTTCGATGGCGGGTCAGCCATGCAGCTGAGCAAGCTCAGTCCCTCTGCAACGACGTGGGTTCGGGCGGACAACGATAATCGGATTGCCGTGTTGTATAATGAGATCAGCCGCGGGAACACGATCAAATTCTTTATGACACGTTCCTCATGGCGCAGTTCGCCTAACCGAGCCGCTCGCGGCTGGATAATTTCTCGCACATCCTCCTTAACAGCGTCTCCGCGATACACCGCATTTAGTGACCGAGAACAGGTTTTGCGCATCACCTCGGAAACTGGAGGAAGCGATTCGGGCGATTCTCACCGTTTTACGTGGGGAAAAACTCCCTACAGATGGAGGTCTTCAATGAGCTACTCCGCTAAGGGAGAGTCGCTCGATGTGCCCAAATAATTCACTGAGGCCGAGTCATGCTGACAACCTCTGTGACACATTTCGTAATCCGTGTCGTTACATTGTGATCGGCTGAAGATATCCCGCGCCGCTCCTCGCTCGACGCGAAACGTCGCAAGACCTCTCACCGATGGGTCTGGACTGAGATTCTTCAGCATGAGTCACCTCTGGAATAGCCTCCAGCTGCAATGGATTCTGCTAGCGATTTGAACCGTCGTCGAGATCGATGTAGCTGAGGGGTTGATGGAGCGAGAGAGGACGTCAATTATCCTAAGTGAGAAAACTCTCATGCGCGATTCCTGCAGAAGAGCTGGTCGAGGTACATATTATATGCCGCAGCGCCTCACCGTTTTTGTCCTGATACGAGACCCGAGTCGAATGCTCCCCCTATGCACTTGATCTCCCTATCGGACTCCACAGCTGGTAGGATCGCGAACACATGGATCGGACCGACCGGGAAAGAGGAGACCGGAGAGCTCATGGAGTTTGTTCCTGGTCTAAATGCAAGTAATTTTGAATATACATAGCTTCAGATCGATTTCGGAGCCCGGCCAAGAGTGAAGCCTCGAAGGAATCAGAAACAGCTGCGGAAAGTTTCCCATGAGAACTTTGTCACTCCGTAATGAGATGACTAGCTATCTTTCTCCGGAAGTTTTTTAGGCTCTGCGACTCCCCGAAGGACGTCGGCGTCGGGTTGTGATATCTCGGAGAGGCTCTCCAAAATGCAAACGAGATTCTTCCTTTGAGACGTCCGCCATGCTTTTTCCTTTGGCTCAGATTCTTGCGAGTTACCCGAGATGAGAGAGGACAGCATTACTTTTTCCGAGTCCGATTGTTGCTCGAGAAATTAGCGAGGATCTCGTCGGCTCGGAAAGCTCTTCGTCGTTGTATCCTGCCTGACTGGCGGCGAAGTCGCCGGGCGGGTCAAGCTCCGTTAGAGACGAAGCGAATATCCGAACCGAGAAATAGCCCGCTGTGACTAAGCGGCACAATCACCACTCATACATTAATGCAGCTCCTTTCTCGTCCCCATTCGTCCCGTCCTACTGCTTACATATACTCCATTTATTCCTTTGTTTCCCGGCTGAGTGCTGAATTTATTAGCAAAATAGCGACGCGCCATATATCATAGGGAACTTCTCCCTCTTGAAAGTCTGAGGATTTGAGAGGAACGATTCCGCTCGGACTTTTGCTCGCCTTATCAAATCGGCTCGGGCTCCTCGGCACAATTTGAATATTCAAACTCCTGGGATTTACCGAACATAACTCTCGGAGGCAGTCTAGAAACAAGTCAACGACCCGTAGCAACGAGAAGTTCGTGAATTCACCATGCGGAGCGAGCGCAGTTGCCGCTTGCATTCGGGAAAGAGGAAAGGTCAGCTCTGATAAGAACTTTGAATTCTGGACCTCGGGGGCTGATTCCCTTCGTACTCGGCCGAACCTCTCGCCTCTGGGGAGCTCTCGAGTCGACGTGAATTGTAGTCCAATGAATGAATTACGAATAGTGTGCATAAAAGTTGTAGGATCAGACAGTGGAGGATGGATGTTTTGGTCTGGGTGTCGTACGTGATATCCAGATTCGTCTGATCCTGTCGCAAAATTTCCGGGATACCGAGCCAATGACATGGAACCCCCAGGAGATGTGTCTCAAATGCGCGGGAAGTCAGAGCTGGGAAGAAAATCCCAACTTTTCGCGCAAAGCTCGATACTCCTCTCTCTTCCTCGGAGAAGTCGCACATTCTACTTCACTCGAGCTACAATGCGTTCGTTTTTGGCGGAGGCGGAATTTTCTCTGCGGGCGACTGTTCGTGTCGCACGAATGTCCGCAGCCGTTTTGTGACAAGCAGGGACTTGCGATGCCGCTGAGTCGCTACAGAAAAACGCGCACCCTCGGGTCGCGCTCGTAAAACTTGATGGCGCTCTTCTATCAACGAGGCACTGGGCGAGAGGCAGCGGCCCAACGACAAGTTGGCCTCTCGAGAGTTGGGAGCATTCTTCATTCAATCGTCCGCAGTATTCAGCGAGTCCCCAAGTTTTCCCATCTCGTGTATTCCCCAAATGTCAGAACCAGTACTCTAGATTTCAGTTTCAGAGAAAAACATATCGGAGAGCAGAAAAGCGACTGTTGACTAGGAAGGACGAGCGATAATAATTCCAGTAGTCGCTCAGCTGCCTGCAGTCACTCAGGCATGGTCGATAGTTCCTTGTCCGAAGTTCGACATCGAGGTAATTCGTTCATATTTTGCAGGCGATCTATTAACGTGCTCGACCAACACCTCAATCTCGGTTGAGCGAAACAGCGTTTACCACGTGTGGGTGAGTCTCTTCGGCCACGAACAGATCCGAACCCAGCAGCTGACTGTGGAAACAGCCTACGCTCAGTATGCCAAGCTACGCGCCATGGAGATCTGTCATGGTGAGTTGCATCGACAATCCATTTCCAATTCCTCAACGACAACAATGCAGAGGAAGAAGGGAGAATGATAGCCCATTGCTCTTGCCGAATCCTTTTATCGGAAAGCTGACGGACGCACGGCCCGCCTGGCTTCCTGTCTGCCATTCTGTCCGAGTGACCGACCGGCTATCCTTGCTTGCTCGCCTCTCTACTGCGTGGAGGAAGCTATCATAAACCATACGTGTTGGCTGTCAGGTCGAGTGAGTGTCCGAGGTCGAGTAGGGCTGAGCAATCGATCTAGCGCGGCTTCGTCATTCCTCCTTTCCTCTTGTTTCGACTGGTCGCGAGAATTCGAACCTGCTTCCACTTGAGCATATACAGCAGGGTACGCGGGAAATCATCGGAGAAGGAGGTGACGAGGAAACAGAACGCCCCATCGGTTACCTGTCCCTTGGAATAACGACGATCGTTTTTCATTGCTGTCTCATCGTATATCGAGCTGTTCACCTGTCTGCGAGCGCGGAGCTTGCGACTCTGCTTCGACGTGGTGTTGCCGCTCTTCACTCTTGCATTCAACTCGTTCCCCTCTTTTGTGCTTCTATTGAAACGCGAGAGGAGCTCCACGTTTCCCCTCTCTATCTCTGTTACTCTCTCTCTTTTTTTTATTCGACTGGATTGATTACGCGGCTCGTCGTACTCCGAGATTCTTATCATGCCCAGCTCCTTCTCCGGCGTCGACACAAGCGGCAGCTTTTCTTTCGCGGCCTCAGTCTAACGATCTCTATTCAGCGTGCGTCACGTAAATGCTACGCGAGTAGAGCCTACGGCTACGGATACACAAGCTCACGGTTGTGTTTTTTTTTCTCTCTCGCAGGCTGTGTACGCGGCGACTACACTACGAGCGTTTCAGCCGCTCTTGCGTCCGTAATCGTTTTGGCTGTGGCGGTATTCCTTCTCATAAAGAGCTACCGGAGCTACACTTTGAGGGACCACAATCTTCGCAGTCATTGCGGATCCTCCTTCCTGATGCCGAACGCCCTTTTGGGCGAACTCGGCGCCAAACCCTCGATGCAAGTCATCGAACCCAAGATGTTGACCTCCAACAGCACCTCCTCCCGAGTTTCTGCTCATGTCACCATTACCCCCATCGCCGCCCACGGTCCTGAAGAAGCCCCCAGCAGCTCTAGGAATGGCACCTACGAACCTTTAAGCCTCGAAGACGAGGACGCAAATTATTTCGTGTTCGATCTCCCCAAGAACTACACTGCCGTCTAAGCAATGGTCGTCGATGACCTTGACGGGGATGACGACGACGCTCCGAAGAAGATGACGATCTCGACCGCATTGTGGTAAACAACGAAAAGCTTAATTGCAAGTCTCCCGACACGGCTTCGACGTAACAATTCCATCGGCGCTCTGAATGATGTTGTTGACGCGAGCGAATGGGAGTGGATGCAGGAGCATTTATTTGCTCATCGGGGAAACCTGCGACCGTCCAAAAGTCGTTCCGGGAACCAAACTTCGATCGCTTGCCTCGAGTTCCGCAGGGGCGGTGTTTTTCTATGGAGCGAGGGAGAACTTTCGAAAAGCTGGGCAGCTCCTCGATCCATGACCGCTTGATTCTGGAAATCGCTGCTTGGCATCTACGACGGTCCCTGATGCCGCTTGTCGAGTCTTTCTGTCGCACCATTGACGCGACGGGGTCCGACGATCCCGAACCGAATGCTAAGAGGGATTGAGATGAGAAAAGCGAAAGGAAGAAAATCGAGGAGCGGGGGATATCATTCGATTCTTTCTCGATCTCATAATGATTCAGTTTACGATTACGACCGGGAAGAAACAAGGAGGGAGAAAACTTCTTCATTTGATTGAATGACACGCGCTGCGAAAATGGTTCGTGAGGAGCTAGTAGAGAGACGACGATTTCCCCGGAGAGACGGAGATCGGGATGCATCTTTTTTTTCCTCTGCGGAGGGAGTTCTGCGGCGCGTTTGTTCGTTCCCTTCATTCACGAATGTCCAGAAAAAATATACAGTCCTGAGCGGAGCCAACCTATCTCCATTGTAAATATGAGCGTGCCAAACAAATAAAGCGTGTCCACACATCGAACGTGCCTCCGGACTTCTCTTTGTCACCCCAAACCGACAACGGCCGGAAAGCCACCACAAAGAATCATGTATTTTTCTGGATTGTCTGAGTGAGCTGTATATGCTCCGATTCGTTCGACATCAGTCCGGTTCCATCGTCTGACCGGTCATTCCTGAGACTTGGAGCCATGCGCGGGAGCGCTGAAGTGAGCCGAGCTTATTGGTCCGAGAGCTGTGGGCTCGACAGTAGGTTTCATTTGCAGAAACGAACCGGCATCGAGGGCGGAAAAAGTTTCAAGAATTATGATGATGGAAAGCCAGAACGATTGCGCTGGGACTTCCCGTGTTACTTTTGACTTCCTCAAGCTTTCTCCGGAACTCAGTTTGTTTTCTAATGTTAGACCCTAGTCGAAAGAATGGACATTCTCCGGATGCTCGTGGTTTCATGTCGACTCGAGGTATACGACGCCGGCATCGCTCACGGTGTTCTGCTCGGCCTACGCTTGCTGGACGCTCGAGAAAGCGGTCGGAGTTCCTTTGGAACTTTGTAGCAGAGAGGCAGCAGCAGCTTCAATCGAATATCGAGCGTCTACGAGGAAGCTCGATTTGATTCTCCTCGTCGATGCGACTCCCGAACGGCGCAGTCTTGACAGACTCGTCATCGTCAGGGCTCAACTGTTTCTCAGTGGTATAATGTTCAGAGCGCTCCAAGTCCCTCAACGGGAATCATTCCAGCGAAGGATTACGTTCTAGGGTTCGGAGTGGGGGTCGGAGAGGGGAGAGAAATTTGTGACTCAATTTTCTCAGAAACAAAGCCTCTATTGAAGAAAACTCTGATGGCTAAATTTCTCCAGAAAGACGGTTCGTATCCACGCATATACTGTTTTTGATTGAGGGACGTCTAACTTCGGAGTTCGTCACGGAAAATTTACGTTTCTACCGTTTTCTCGGAAATAAGACGTCAGAAACGTAAAAAAGTGATGGTTGAAGATATTCAGCGTGACTTTTTCCGCCCGATAAGCATCCGAATTCTGACAAAGGCACAAGGCGCGTCTGTTGTTAGTAATCACTGCATCCCGCCACCTTTCGCACTTGGATCATTTCCAAGACCAGACAAGATGATAACGTAGTGAATTCGACCTTCGAAGTTGATAATTGGAAAACGAAGTTGAATTAAAATGAACTATAGATGATTTATTATAGATGTTGCATAGATGTTTTGTGAAATCATTATGAACAGTTTAGGGTTCTAGTTCAATTAAACTAACCCTCCATACCGAGGGCTGCTGGGCAGGCTCCATGCTCCATTTCTAGAGCACCTGTACGAAGAAGAGCAAATGAGCCGCCTGATATTTTTTTCGTTCGCGTCGCTGCAAGTATACCAGATACACTAGGGTCTTGTTCAGTGACGTACCGCGGCGGGGAGGATGTTCGGGGGGGGGATGTTCGGCGCTGCAAAAAAGCGTGAATTAAAGGAAAGTTTGAATTTATTGAATCATGGCTCATCCTAGTATTTCTCGGTATGTCGATTGGGGCAGGATAGGTCCGAAAAAATTGGAAAGAAAATTGAGGGGGGGCATTCCTCGAGGAACGTCGCTTTTTTGGAAAGCCCGATGACAGCACAATGTGAACAAACACGTTTTTCGAATTCCTTCCAATGGGGCCCTTCATCATCTTGGATCTCCGACACCCCTCAATTCCTAGTCCGGTTCTGGGAGCGCTACTCCTGCTCACAGAAAGCAGGTAAAAACTTACGAGTCCGGCACTCTTGAGCGAGAAGAGTTGCGATATACGAGGGAATTTTTTTCCCGAAAGAAAGACACTGTCCGGGTGGACATTACGGATTGTCTGGCAGACGCTTGAAACAATGTGACGGGGAGAATGCTCGCGATATATGAACGACTGCTCTCGAAAAGGACTGTAGGCTCAAATCTGCTCCTTACAGAGCCAGGAAGTAATGGATACTGCAGCGAAGATCGTAAGAACTTACCTCCTCTCTGGAGGCACTTATACAAAGCGCTGGTATTCCAGCCGCCCGGCGGCGGGAGCAACCTGTCGTCTATGACATCGAGCGCGAATATACCCCCGGCGTCTTCATCCTCGAAGAAAAGCGTTGCAACGCCGAAGAATTCCCTGAGGGTGGAACAAGCGAGGGTTCCGTCTCGCGGCGGGAACTGGAGAGCTCTCCCGCCGTGCGGGCCTTCGATTTTGACGCAAGTCGGCGCCATTGAGCTGTTGGGAATAGGGTTTGGTTGAAACTTTCGCGGTGATCCTCACTCAGACCTTCCCACTGGTGACCGTCTTTAGCTGTTGAACCACCTCGATGGCGAAATCATGTAAGAGCTTTGCCCATTCTTCGAGGCTACGCCAGAGAACTAGAATGCTGTTCTGACCGTCTAATCATTGCGCTTGAGAGCTTTCTTATTGAATAGTTCAGAAGCCTATGGGACTGACAGTAGGCGCAGATCGGAGACGTCCACGAGTCCAATGTAGATAGGTGCCTAACGCTGGATGAGGATAGAAGACAATCGACGTACTATGTGAGGAGAAGAGATCTAGGTGATTGAGGTTGGGTCTTCGTTACCTTGCGGATGTGGCAACGATGTTTACGAATCGGCGGTCCCCTCCCCTATAGCTGCCATAGCGATACACAAGGGGCCAACCAGTCTGAGAAACACAACCAGGGATCCAGGTGCAGATATTCCCCAGGGCTTCCATAGGAGCGCATTAGACTCTCCGAAGTCGCGTTCACCCCGATTGTGAGCTCAGTCAGAATCATTCGGCCTCGGAACGTGTATCCGGCCGAATTCGGGCGGTTCGGGCATGGACCTGAATCAGCCCCCGGGAGACCTGATTGAGCCGACTGAGTTGAAGTGGCGGAGTGGACACTGTCCGGGTGGACATTACGGATTGTCTGGCAGACGCTTGAAACAATGCAACGAGGAGAATGCTCGCGATATATGAACGACTGCTTTCGGAAAGGACTGCAAGCTCCAATCTGCTCCTTACAGAGCCAGGAGGTAATGGATACTGCAGCGAAGATCGTAAGAACTTACCTCCCCTCTGAAAGCACTTATACACAGTGCCGGTATTCCAGCCGCCCGACGGCGGGAGCACCCGTCCCTCACTGACCTCGAGCACAAATTCACGCCCGGTTTCTTTATCCTCGAAGAGAAGCGCCGCAGCGCCGAAGACTTCCCTGAGGCTGGAAACAGAGAGGGTTCCGTCTACTTCTCGCAGCGGGAACTGGAGAGCTTCCCCGCCGTGCGGGGCTCCGATTTTGACGTAAGTCGGAGCCATGGAGCTGTTGGGAAAAAGGGTCTTGTTTTGATCCGCCTCTCGGAAACGTATGTATGAGTTTCTGGCATCGAAAACAGGAATCCCTTCGTAGCCTTCCTCACGATTCCGAACATATCGGGGATGGGGTACGGATCAAACACCGCTTTTTCATTCAAGGTCTCGTAGTTGACTACCATCCGTAACTGTCTGTTGTTCTTTTCAAGGGAGATAGCTGGTGCTGCCCACGGCGGGTCGCATTCGGCGATCAGTCCCTTCCTTTTCATCGCCGCCATCGAACGCGCGTTGCTCCAAGTTTGCCGGCACCCGGTACTCTTTATTATAGACCGCCCTGCCGGCCGTTGTCGTGATGCAGTGCTCATGATTCACGTTCCTCACGTCGAATTGATCTTTTGAGAACACCCGGTCGTATTTCTGCAGCAAGGTCTCGAGTTCTCCCGTACTTGTCTTGACCGTATCGGAGACTCCGGAAACTCTGATCACCTTCGCGACCAGAATCAGACCCAACTCAATCGCCCCCTCCATTCCGACCAGCACGGGGTCCGTACCGGATTCTATTACGATCCATCTCAGCATTCGCGGCTGCGCGTACAACTCGATCTCCAGGTGGATTGCTGATATAATAAGATGATTGCTAATCTTTCTTTACCCTGTCTCCATGGCTTTCCCGGCTAATTCTGGAATTTCTATGCTCCTGCAACCATTAGGTATTAGGGCGAATGAGCCAAGGATGAGTCGCTCTAAGACGGTCGCCTCCGGCGGCGAGTTGGACCCTGCGGCGAGCTGGGTCGCGGCGAGTCGGCCGCGGCGAGTAGGGTCGCGGCGAGCTGGTCGCGGCGAGCTGGTCGCGGCGAGTTGGGATGCTCCGGGATTTCTCCCGCGCTCGTCAAG